ATAAAAAAAAATGAATATTCAGGAAGAGGATTTGGTAAAGAATTCTCTTACTGGTTTTATATTGAGACAAGAATTACAGGATGATGACATTTTGGAAACAAAATTTCACAAAAGATTTTTTAAGTAAATATGATGGAGCTTTTTAAAAGCATCAAATGTGGTATCTATCTGCAATTTAATATATTGTTACAGCTCAATTGTTATTGCTTTTAGTATTTGTATATATCTTTGTATATATTTGATGTAATATATAACAATAAATATTCTTTTTACTCTAATTTTTGATTGTTAATATGGTAGAACATTTGTTTTCATATTTCATTATCATTTTTAGGATTGAACAAATACAAATTTAGTAAAAAAAAAAATAACCCAGTAAAATGCCTTATTCAAGTCAATGCAAATTATGTGTAAAGTGCATTAAGAACATGCACACATTTTATTTCTGAAGTATTGGAACAATAGAGATTAGTGATTTTCAGTTCTTAAAATTTTAATGGCGTTTGTGTTGAATGAAGATTTTGGTAAGCTTGAAACCACCTAATTTTTGTTCATTTGGTGTTTTAAAAAATGGTATGGAGTGGATCTATCCCCTACCTGAATTGGCATTCAAAGTAATTGGAATATAGACGTATTCAGGCGATAAAGTTGTCGGATTTTGGTGGTACGCTGTACATTGTCAACTAAACCTTCTTCGTTATTTCCAGATCCTGTAACACATTTTCTAGATCAAGCTTTGATTTTCATTTGGTCTGTAACAACATCAGTGCCATCTCAGCATTCCGAGCTTACGTCTGCATGGTACAGATTTCGATGTTTGTCTGTTTTTACAACCGATACAATTAGTATTCTGCTAGTAATAAAGGAAAAATAACCATTCACTGAGCCCATTAACACAGGTGTTCGTCATCCACCACTTTTATTCCAAGGACAAAAAGCTACATATAGGCCTACATGTACCCCTGTTGTTGGACAATGCTCAACGGTCACTTTTGAAATAGTGTTGAATTATCACACGGGTAATGTTTGTTTACGCAGTTATTTACTTATCACATGGTTGTTTCAGACGCATTACAGTTAATTAAAATGTATGTGAAGATGATTAAACACTATATCTTATTGGGCTTCTGGTGAATAATGCGATGAATGATTTAGATGCCATTTCCCTTTCTACAATCAGTTCTTGGTACATGTTGTCCATTTAACTAACATTTGAGTTCACAGGCTAAAAAGCAAACCATGGTATTCTAACGGTTGCTACGCTGCCAATTGAACTAATGTTACTGCAAGTAACAAAAAACATTCAGTCATCAAACTTATTTTTCTCATTTCCTTAATGATTTACCTTCCTTGTTCTTGTAGAGGTCTTTCATAAGTTTTTATTGTCATACGAGGACCCTGGCACTTTCATTGCGCAATTTTTTAGTAATTACCGAAGATGGAAGAAATAATTGACACACCACAGCAAACTTCATGTTTATTCTGAACAAAAGAATTATACTCCTTTTAACTATTTCCCAAAGAAAAAAAGCAGGATTAAAATATCTGAAACACTTTTAACCTGTCCAAATACATAAATGTATATAATGTAGTTGTGCACAGGTGTGCCGTGTGTTTGTTAGGGAGAGAGAAGGGTTCTGTTCAACTCTAGGCTGTTATACATTCAGTGTATGATTTTGCAAATTTTGTTTGAAAAAAGGTACATGTAATTCTGAAGATATTTTTCTTTGTTTTTGTTCAATCCCCTTTTAACGTGGAAAAAATACCGTGGAATAGGGACATGCTCCAACTGCTGTGGGGGAATTCTCAGGCTGACGTCAGGCGTAAACAATATTTTCCTTCTCCTCAAAATGTCAATTTAAAAGCTGGCATTATTGTTGTTAATTTGTAATTTAGATGAGTTGCGGGGTTATTTCCCTTTCAACCCGGCCCTATTTAAGAGCCCCACTCACGAACGCCCCAAAACAAGCAAAAAGGAGCAAGAAGAAACCAAGAAAGAGAAGATTGTCCATGTATTACAAGGTTAGTCAAGAAGAGTAAGATAAACATGCACAGATTATACGAGCATGTCTAAAATCGTGTTAGGAATTTTTGGATTATTTTATTAGATTATTTTGCCAGATGATTTTATGAAAATTGACCTGAAAAATATTGGTTATTTATTTTTTCAGTTCGGATAATGACTGCTTTGACAAAAAAAAGAAAAAAAAACGATTTAAGAAGTTTGTTTGAATGTTATTTTATTTTATTTCTTTCATTCATTTAGCTACATATACCTATTTATTCATTGATTTATATTCGGCCATAGACAAGCTATTCTCTTATACTCGAGGCAAGACACTGCTGATGGGTGCAATAATGAATTCCCCATCTACATGTATCTTTCTTTCCCATTAGTCATTTCTGCAGCCTGGATGTTAAAGACCACAGAATGGGTCGCTTCCTTTGGTTTCGAGTTTTAATAGTTTTATAGCGTTTGTCTTTTCTTCCGAGACAGATGTGCTGATTCATCGCCCAGTCCGACTACATGGCCGGGGGGGGGGGGGGGGGGGCATTTTACTAGCGGTTCTTTCTTAGGTCAATGCTGTATGCTGGCGAGTTCTTCGTCTTCTGTAAGGTCTTTCTTTCGCAAAGTCACGGGTCCATTTGTAGGCGACCACCCTTTTAATGCGAGGCATGTGACTTGTTGAAAAAGTCTGAAATAAACCATGGGCGTTTCCCGAGGATTACCTGACTGACGTCAGTGAACTCTCCAGACCAATGCGCCCGCAGCTGACCTTTCCATACCTTCCATACCTACCTTCCGTACCTTTTTAACATGGTGAAAAGTGAAAAGTGTTAGACATACTGTAAATTTATCTTTAAAATATTAAGCTGTTCTATACATGCATTACAGTTAATTTTTTTTAATAAAAAGAACAACATGAAGGAATTTCCAGGGCGGATCCAGAGATATTTTCTGACAGTCTTCCAAATTATTACCTCCACCAAGGAGGTTATGACGTCACCCCTGTCTTTCTGTCTGTTTATTTGTCATCAACATAACTCAAAAAGTTATGGACCGATTTTGATGAAATTTTCAGGGTAGGTCAGAAATGGGTTAACTTAGAAGTGATTAGTTTTTGGTGGTGATCCGGATCAATAATCAATCAATAACCAATAATAATCACAAATCGCTGCCTTGGCGGAGGTCTGCGCTCTCGGAGTGATTTTCTAGTTTTTGTTGATCTATCCCCCTTTTTGGACCTTGTTCCGACAGAAAAAAAATAGATACCCGTCAGTGAACTTGAAAATCTGACCGTCTTCTGGAAGACACAGAAGACGACTTCAATTCGCCTCTGATTTCAAGTCAAAGTTCGTAATGACCTTTTGTCATTATTATTTCTTATCATCTTATTAGTAGTTAACTAATTAGTGGTAGACCAGCACTACAGGGCTCTTGATTAAATCAAAAACGTCAAAAGTGACTAAACGTCGATTATTTCTATATATTTGAAGGCAACACAAAATTTGCCCTTATAATCATCATATCATGTCGACTTGAGATTATCAAGACAGAGTGCCCGTTACACTTGTATATGCCATCGTAAATATCTATAGGCCTATTCAATGGACGAATCACTTACAATGCTCTGTGTCTTCCTTAATTTCTTCTAACCTTTCTTTGCCTCTATCAAACAATAACTTCTTCTTTGCCTTTTAGATTTTCCTAATAGATTGGTAGTAAATTATCTAGATATTTTCACTCCAATTAAAGCTTTTTTAAAATAATTGACAAGAAGGTACTTCTTCAATGTCCTTTAAAGACGCTTAAAGCAGTAAACCATGTAATGAAATTTAAATATTATGGCCAAATGAATCTAAGCAAATGAATAAGAATTCAGTCTTAAGACAGTTCAGCCTTTAGAACATCATTATTCTCACATCAAGGTTACAATCATGGTTGAACCAGAGTTGTAATGGCTTTCGTTGTCCTTCGTCTCTATGCTACGAAGACACAACCTCTTTGATGGATTAGTTCAATCACACTAAACATACATTAAGTTTGAACTAAGGACATGTCCAAGAGTTAGGACAAGATAAAATTTGCACACAAATTTTACTTTCATTTCATTTAGAGAGGTTGATTGCACGTGGCCTTTGAAAACTATTATGTCTTCAAGTGCAGACATGGTGACCTACCGCACTTTATTAGAGGTCATGTGGGTGATAAGGTAGTTGGTGTGCAAAAATTCTAGCCAAACAGAACACAGAACTGTACACGGCTAGTGATTAGCCATAGAAATATTTGGGAAATAATTTCTAGTGAATAACCATTTGACTGCGCGGTTTTAGAAAGGGAAAGGAACCTGCTCATGGAAAATGTATTCTCGCCTCAACGCGTTTTGTAGTCAGACTTGCAGCTTTTTCCTTTTTTTTAACCAATTTGTCTCAGCATTACATGTTTTAGTCCTGCAATTTTCAACGTTGGGGAAATCCCTAATTGTATTTCCATTTGTCTTGCGAATCTGGGCATCTACGTGAGAAAGGCCAAAGTGAATTGCGCTCTCAGACGTGATTTGTTTTTAATGCTTTCTTTGCTCAGTATCTCTAATACCATTGTGCATCACACCTTATTATTTCACCATTATCAAACTTTAATGACTGTGGAACCGTCTTTTGCATTCTGTGAGTAATGTGGTTTGAGTGGTGAGAGATACTTTACGTTGTACAATCGTCATACTCTACAAAAACCATTCCTTGGATTTGTCTGCAATTCCTTTGATTTAGATAGTTCATTTCTATTTCAGATGAAAGTTTATCTTCTGGCATGCTTATCGCTAGCATGTGTATGTGACACAGCTTGGGTGCCGGACTCTCCCTTTGTACGCGCAGCTGGTGGTACGTTTTAGTTAGTACATTTGCCATTCGGTTTTTAGTCGTTCTTCCTAACTTGGGTTCAGATCTATGTAAAAAAAATAAGTCAAAATAATCAGGAGATGATTGCAGATTATATTAAATGAAAGAATCGTTTATGTTGAGAATGAGTTTTGATATCATCCAAACCGAAAAAAAAGTATAAATATGTTATCTTTGAGGGTCGTAAGTTACTTTATTCTATACACGTTTAGTATTTGCATAATACCATGAAAATAATGTCACAATTGCAGCGAAAAATATGTTGTGCTATTTCACAAACTGGAGTGTCTACCGTCCTGGAATAGATTGGTTTTCGCCGGACAATATCGACCCTTTGCTGTGCACTCACATCATCTATGCGTTTGCCAACATAGACTATATGGCTTTAACCATTAAGCCGTCTGATGCATTTGCTGACTTGGGTAAGTTAAACAGTGACGAGTAAACACTCAGTTGCTAGGTTTCTGATGACCAGTAGCATATCAAGAAATTAGGTATTCTTGACAAAAAAAAAAAAAAAAAAAAAACAAGTGCGTTAAAAAATTTCAAATACTAAAAAGCCACTGGTGATTTATCTTTCATTTTCTGACTGAAAGGTAATGGGTGTGTATATAGAAAAAGAAGCGTTTTTCCTCTTTTGCCGCATTTAACTTTTTGTTGACAAGACTAAAAGATAACAAAACTGGAAAAAATGACTAGACAGAACATATAAAGTATAAGAAAGTATTAGAAAGTATACACACTTTAAACAAAAAAATGCCATTTGTAAAATGTACATTCCAATAGATAACACATTTGATCCAATTTGAAATATTTACGGTGATGAACTGCATAAATTATGCACAAAATACATGTATAACACCTTGCATTAAACTTGCTGTTTTCAATCTACCCAAAGCACGTGTGCAACTTTGGTTTTTCATTTTTCTTTAAAAAAAATGCCACAGGCATCTTCCCTTCACATGTTACCAGCGATTAAGAACTGAATCAAATCTCGTGTCATGTCTCTCACATTATCAACAATCACGGACTGGTGTTGGGTTGGCAAAATTGGTAACAAATTAGTAAAACACAACATCACAACTCAAACAAAAATATGGTTTTGCAGTTTCGGTGTGATACCGTGTGTGTACAAAAAATATAAGCAAACAATCACCGAAAGCGCAATAACGTTTGAAAAAATAATAATGTTGATATTTGAGTTTGACATACATTTCTTCAAAGCAAAGTCTCCTGGTAAATTCAAAGTGAAACGAAATTGCAGTCTTGGAATTATTGGACGAACGAAAAATGTGTCAGAGGGTGATGGCATAGACAGACACAGATTATCAAAATACAAACCGACCTCTGGTGCTTGAACCACTCTCATAAGTAACATATACTTTCATTAGTAACATTAAGACAAATTACTTACACATTACATCAAAGTTAAGTACACTATAATGAAGAATATTGGTGAAGACGTTTGACATAAATGTTCACTAATTATACTAAAATTTATTGCAGGAAAACATAAAGAGACTGTGTTAACCCGTACTATGGACACTTTTGTCAGTAAGATACCGCAAACAAAAATCCTTATGGTGGTGATACAATTATTTTGGACATCTTTGTCTGAAATTTTAATTTCCGCATTTTATCGAACAGTCTTTTTCTACTTCCAGACACCAACGGGGGGAAGGGCTTTTTTTCTAAGATAACTACCATGGCAAGGAATCATGGACACTTGAAGGCCCTTTTGGCCATAGGAGGTTGGAATGCCGGATCTCACCCCTTTCTTCAGATTACAGAGTCTCAGCAGAAGATTGACATATTTGCTGAAAACGCAGCCAGTTTTTTAATACTCCACGGTTTTGATGGTTTAGACTTGGATTGGGAATATCCTGCGAATGCAAAGGACAAATTTAATCGTTTGTGCAGGGTGAGTGCTGTACGTTGCGAAGAAAAACGTATTCATCAACTGGTGACAGAAAAGTACTTGATATACATACTTACTTACTTACTTTTCAGTGGTTACTGAATCCGTTCCGACATACAAAGTTAGTCGATAAAGTTTTTCTAAGTGTGGTTTTTGTAATAATCTTTATGGAGGTCCACATGGTCCGATGACAAGCACAGAATTCACAATGAAAGTGTATTTATTGTGGAATTTTTAATTTCATATGAAGAGTTTCTTTAAAGAAATATTCTGTTGTGTCAATTTTAAATACAATTATAACAAAATTTTCGTCGATAACATTTGTCAACTGGATATCTTTTTTTTCTCTTAGACACTGCGTCAAAAATTCGACCAATATCACCCCCGACTGTTGTTGACTGCTGCTGTTAGTGCTGGCAAGGGTAATATTATGGGTGCTTACGACGTACCTGAAATATCGAAGTAAGGATAATCTCAACCTTTCTCTCTCTCGCTCTCTCTTTCTCTCTCTCTCTCTCTCTCTCTCTCTCTCTCAATAACCTAATGCAGATACTTCCAAATTTATGATGATGCGACACTGTGCAGACGTCCTAAAGTTTTGTAATATTTACAATGGGTATATTGATAACAACAAGTACAAGTTTACTGGATGCAGGGATGGAAGTATGCTTGGTTTTGTCTCGTTTTGCTCATTATACGATTTTTTTTTTTTTGGGGGGGGGGGGGGGAGGGGGTGTGCATGTGGGTCACTGTGGGCATCATACATTAAATAATTTTGGTCCACAGATCTGTGAGGTTAAGTACTGTATCAATCTCCATTTTTGCAGGCACCTTGACTTGATAAGCATAATGACGTATGATTTTCACGGGAGCTGGGAGTCCACCGCCGGCCATAATAGTCCGCTGTACGCTAGAGCATCTGAACCTTGGTGGAAGCAAACCGAGTTGAATGTGGTACATGTTTGTTTACTGGTCTGCCCCTCGGAACGGCCTTCTCAACCATTCCATCTCTCTCTCTCTCTCTCTCTCTCTCTCGTCTGTATGTTCAAAATGAATTGCTGAATGTAGCATTTCATGACATTAAATTGACGTAGTATGCTCGACTCACAATACAAAGTCTCGAGGTCGTACGTTGAGCGAAGTTAAAAGACTAGCGGTCCATCTATAAAGAGTACTATCTTGTTGAAGGGAAAATTGTTCAGCATGGTTCTATAAAAGTACTTTTTTATATCAACGAAGTTTGGTCGTGCGTGCATTGACCCATTTGCCTCATTTATTATTAATATTTATTATTTCTATGTTGCATTAGAAGATGAAAAATGAGCATGCCAAGTTTTAAATTAAGAAGGCGTGGTCAATTTTTAACGTAGGATGCTGCCGTTCAGTATTGGATCCAACTAGGAGCCCCAAGACACAAACTAGTCATGGGAATGCCGACTTATGGAAGATCCTTCACTCTGAAAGATAGCGTGGAGAACCGCATGGGGGCGCCAGTATCCGGGGCTGGCATCGGCTATAACTGGGAACAAGGAATTCAGCCATACCACGAGGTATTTGCCCTAAGCACCCCTTTAGCAATAGCGCCCTTGATCCTAGGAATCTCTTACGACAACGGATAATGTATGCTACAAGTAGTAACATTTACCAAAACTGCCTATTATATGCGTAAACTGCAACCTTATTTGACAGTCACATTTCAGTTTCAAGGTCCAGGACAAACTATGTTGTAACGGCTTTCAACCTTATATTTTCATCTTCAGATTTGTAGGAAGATTTACCCTTATGGTAGTTATGATGCATTTTGGCACACTGAACACAAGGTTCCATATGCATTTTCCTCTCTTGACTGGATTGGGTATGATGACGCTCAGAGTATCGCACTGAAGGTAATCATTTCGTATGACTATCAACAACATTCACATTCTAAGTTCTATTTTGTGGATACTCATATGTATGTTCAGCAGCTAATTTTTTCCTTTTTACACAGCTTGATGTTCTGAATGTTATTTTACAGTTATTCAATTCAATATACAATATGAACTATATGTATTATGCACCTGGTCATATTTCTTCTTTTGAAAACTACTTCGTTTGTACTGATGTAATGGTCTCACGATATTTTCAGTGACACTGAAGTTTTCTTTCATACTGCACTTTATCTAATCCATTTAATGACGTGTATACTTAAAAAGAAAGGTAGACAAATAATTTGGGTGGAAATAGTGCGAACTGAGTGACTGTATTGCAGGGCCTAAATATCTAAATTTTAAAAATGAAAAAAAAAGTGCATTGGTTGCCATTAAAACACGCTAAAACTAATAAGTGAATAAAACAAGAAGTGGTGAGATGGAGCACTGGACTTTTTCGCGAAAATTATAATTGACTGTCCTTTAGGAATAAATAATGAGTTACCCTGGTAAAACCTCTTCTCATAAAGAGTTTACATGCAACGAGTAGAATTGACTTTGGCCAAATACGGGAAACGCGATTGAAACCTGTTTCGAAGGAGTAAGGCCAAATATAATGGCCCAAGTTTTGAAAAAGTCTTTTGACAAATAGCGAGTGATATTTCCACATTTTCTGACTGACTGTCTGTATCTTTTCAGACCAAATACGTATTGGACAATGGTTTAGCCGGCGCTATGATATGGGCCCTGGACATGGATGATTTTACTGGTCAAAAATGCCCTACATTCACTAAATACCCTCTTCTACGGACCATCAACGCTGTATTGGCGAACCCTTTCCACGCTGATCAACTTCAGATCCCTCATCCCTTTGTTTCTGGAGGTTATGAGGATGGTAGCGGTGGGTCCAGTGGTGGTGGCAGCGGTGGGTCCAGCGGTGGTGACAGCGGTGGGTCTAGCGGTGGTGACAGCGGTGGGTCTAGCGGTGGTGACAGCGGTGGTAGCAGCGGCGGAACCAGTAATGGAGAATGGTGTTCTACTACATATTTGGAGTCTTGTCCTGCAGGTCGGAGTTAGAATCAGTTTATTCTGTATAAGTTTTTTCTCGGCGTTGTTTACAAATATGAATCGTCTTTTTCTAAGACCGCCAAAATCCGGCATCATCATGCTGAGGCACCGAAGGTTAAACAACTCAGTCAACTATACAATTGTATATTTTCGTTTCACTGATGGCGATGTTTGACTTATTTCAAATAGATCTGTTATGATGCCAAATGAAGAGTTTATGCTCACTTAACTTTGGTAGGAACATGTTGGCAAGCAGGGGATACCGCTCACCCAACCGATTGCAAAAAATATTGCTCCTGTCAGTCTAACACGAATGGTGGATATATTTCGTATGCGCGTTGCTGCCCACCAGACCAGTACTTTGATCCTACCAGAAAATGGTGCGACTTCAGTTCGGCTGCATGCAATACGGGCGGTGGCAGCCAGTCAGGACCAGACGTGTCCCTGGCCGGGTCTTGTCCAACAGGTAATGTTTAATTGAAAGTAGTATAGTTATTGTGTTAGTCGAGAAAGGGGGTCGCCCCCTTCCCCACCAACCGCCCGTACACGCTTGAAATATTGGACTGACATTTTTCATGTTGAATGCTACGGTCTATCCCCATGTTACAAAATCTTTTGAGGCAAAACATTTGTGCCAGGACTAGAGACACGAAGAAGAAGCCTGACTACCTTGAGTCAAATGAATAAGACTTGTGACTTTTTATGAATTTTTTCGTAAACTCATTGCTATATATTATGGAAACTATGTGCATAAAGTATTTTGAAAATGTAGTTGATTTTCCGTTGCTAAAAGTAATATCTACTTGATTTAACGACTTTTCATTTGCTGTCACTATATACCTCAATGGCTGACCTTTAATTCCCTCATTCCACCACAGATTGCCCATACGGCGATGGTAAGCACGCACACCCTAGTGACTGTTCAAAATACTGCCTGTGTGAACTGTCCACCAATAATAAGATAACAGAAGTGACATGTCCTGGGGGAAATTATTTCAATCCCAGTTCAGGACTGTGCGAGTCGGCCAATGCTGGCTGCGCTGGAAGCGGTGGAGTAGACACATCTCAAGCCGGAAGCTGCCCGACAGGTATTGCGCACCTATGGTTCACTTGGTTCTTTTTAAATCGGCTTTTTCATTAAGTTTAGTCCAGATTTAGCCTTTAAAATGGCAACCTCTTCAAAATGAAAAAAATAAAAATAAAAAACACGCTTCAAATCGAAATTGCACAAACTCGTCCTCATTCGTTAATTTAAGACGAACAGTTTCATAACCGAGTCTCCTTTTCTTTGGTCGTTACTGACCTAAAAATGAAACTAAATTTGATGCTCATAGACACTGAACGAAAATACTTGATAATGACATAACAACGAAAAGCATTATTTTATCACTATATTCACATCTCGGTGACGTTTTCACCTTTGTTTTTTTAAACAAATTAAAAGAGTAAAACAAATTAAAATTGTTTATCCAAATAGATTGTCCAAATGGAGATGGGAAATATGTCCACCCTAACGACTGCAGCAGGTACTGTCTATGTGACATTTTAATTAATAAGAAGATCACAGAAATGTCGTGCCATGCAGGGACCTTTTTCAATCCAGCGACAACGTTGTGTGAAGTTTCAAGTTCGGTCTGCGGTGGACAATTGGCAATAGATACGACTTATGCTGGGGGATGCAAAAAAGGTAGCCTATACACAAACTATGTTGCTTGTAAAATTAATTGATACGGTTGGTTCTCTTTCACTTAACTTAGTCAATTAAAGATAAGAGAATGAAACAGCATCTTTCCCTTGGTTTTAATAGGTCTACTAAAACATAATCAGTCAACATGTATTATACATCAGGACGCACAGCTTTATAAACGATTATCATTTTTGTCATAGATGATTGCGTCGTGAATGGTGAATATGCACATCCGACCACGTGCTCTTCGTACTGTTCCTGTCACATTGATGGCACCGGTAACGGCGCTTTGTACGAGATGCAGTGTCCCTATGGACTGTATTATTACCCACCAGAAAAACAGTGCACCTACACCAACGACCACTGTACCGATGGTCAGGGAGGAGGCGGAAGTGCGGGGACGACAGACTATTGTTCAACAGGTGAGTGCTTCCGAAGTTAACCAAACGAGATAGCAAAATCATTTTATAGATTCATAGCAGCCATGAGCCGTTCGTACTTAGTGAGTGTAAAAATGTTTAATGAATGAAGATGAGCATGCGTACAGAACATAAAGGCGTTAATAAAATGAAATGAAATGAAAGTAATACACCCTTTGATGCTAGGAAGATTTTCCTTTTTTTTTTTTTTTTGGCATCAAAGAGGCTGATCCAAAATATCAAGAATTGGGTGGCGGTAGATTCCAGTAAACGTAATTTTACAAACATTTTATTAGTACTAAGTATCATTAGGTCTATATGATTATTCATTATGGTATTTCCTAATGTTAAATATTTTCTTACAGTTCTATGTACAAAATGGTGGCCATACGAATCTCACGAGGATTGCACTAAATATTGCGTATGTTCGGCTTTGGGTGGCTACGACGCTTACGAACAGGCTTGCGCAGCTGGGACATATTATAACGAACTCTTAGGGTACTGCGATACTAGCAATGAGGTATGTTAAAGACAGTTGATTTCGCCGTCCATCGCCCATCGCCCATTGTTTACGATTTTCTCCAGTATGTATTCTTACCGTCACAATCACAGTCCGCCTTTACACATTTTTCTCAACCGAGAGACTAGTTTCCGTGCGGTATCTGCACTGTGCAATAGTAGTTCAGTGTGGAATCCATTACGTGCAACAATTAGTTTGGGAGTTTGCGAAACTGCAAGACATGTAGAGGCTGGAGAGGGATTCTCTCTTTTTTTAGGGTCATTTATTCTGTAAGCCGCTTAACGTGAATACCAGCGGTTCGATTTCTCCCAAACATCATCACTGGTGGATGGGCATATCAAAGATTTTGAAAAAAGACTTCTATGAAAACTTTAGGCTTAAATCATGTTGTGGTATGGGTCCAGTTCACTTCACGTGCTCATCACTTAAGGCCTTTTATTTGTGTTTTAGACCACATGCATGCCACCCCACTGTAATATTTTTCTTTCACGTACTAATGATAGTGCATTATAATAAAAAACGGCCTTGTTTGGCCAAATCACGAACAATCAATATTCTTTGTTGCCTTCTTTCTTGTTATGAATGAGACTATGAAAGTTTGTGGTACACTGAGATGGAGGAGACATAAAAGTGCTTTTAAGCAAAAACTTCTACTGCATTTCTAAATTCTTGCTTAATATGAATTTTCTTAAGCTGCCACAAAAAACATTTAAACACTTTCAACATAAATGGTCCAGAAGAATTCAGAAATGATACTGACAAAACATAAGAAATCATATTTATTGACTATAAAATAATCATTAATTAAGACATTATGCGAATGAATGTTAAATAATATTTGTTAAAAATTTTGGATCATTGGCATTTTTTGCCCAATTCAGTCAATATTACAAGGTAAAAAATCATGTCACCTTATGTCATCTTAATACCGTAAATACATAAATCTGAAAAGAAATTGTTATCATCCTTGGTTAGATTTAGCAATCTATGTGAATACCGTGTGGAACATCAATAGGTTTAATGGAAACATAAGCTGCCCACTCAAATACATGTAATATCTTAGCTGGGTTTAGTGCCACGGTCGTTGTACAGTTCTTTCCCTGTTTATGACAAGGCCAAAGTCTTTCCATTTTGCCTAGTACATGTACAAGCAGAAGAGTATTATGCCCGTAGCAGAATTGTGAATAACAATCCACAACAAAGAACTGAAATGTGTGAATGGAATATGTTTAAAAAATTTTAAAAGTAACAACAATAAAAAAAGAAAAAGAAGAGAAAAGAAAGGAAACGGAAATGGTTTTTAGAAGGAATATCTTTAAAAAAAATTATTTTCGTCGGAGGGGCATTCTCTTGGTAAATTACTATTGCTTGTCTTGAAAATGGTTCCAAGAATTCCTTTAGACCTAACCTAAACATCAGTTTCGAAACATTCCATTGATTGTACTTACCAAGAGTCGTTGTGGGATTCATGGCGGTAGTGGCGGAATTCTCATACACAGCCAGTCTCTCGTTGGCTGCTCTAAGCAGGGGATAACTTCCCTTTCCACATTTGTTCTTGAAGTCATCCAGGTCCAAAGACCAGATCATTATTCCCGCCAGGCTTTTACTGACGGCGTAGTCTACCTAAAACGGGTGCGCAGTACATATAATGTCACCAGATTTATTTAATTTATGAAACTCCGAGTAATAAAAAATTGATGTCATCCAATGGTAGTTCACCAGAAATGAAACGCCGTATCCAAACTCAAAAACAGCAAAATGAGAATCAACACTCTGGGTGTATAACAGTGCCATGGTAGAAAATGATACAAAATTGGTACAACAGGATCTGTATGAAATGCTGCTTCAGCCACTGATGAATTGAAGCTATTGTAGTAGTCTTAAAATAATATACCTTTTCCTTGATGCTGGTAGGATTGTCATACCCCACCCATAGGTTCTCCTGTCTGTTGAAAGCATATGGTACTTTTCGCTTGTCATCCCACTGTTCCTCCCATGCTGGGTCTTTTACGTTCTCGCAAATCTGAAGAATAACGAGAAAATGTCAGTTGCAAATGAAATGCGACATAAAAATATCCCATGGCACTGCCAACAAAAACGAAAACCAATCCGTAGATTTGCAGTTACCTATTGCAAACATAAAATGGTATGATACAGAAATTATGCTTCAACACGCACACACTGCACACGGTTTATCACCATAGTAGAAAATACGAGGTATACACTTCAAAACCAAAAATAAACAACTTTGTTAAAAAAACCACCGACCTCAAAATATGGGTACATGCCGCTTTCATTGATGTACCTTCCGGCAGGTCCATTGTCAAGAGCCTGCGCTCCCGGAGTTGTATTACCATTTAGGGTTTTGAAGTTTCTTCCATAC